GCAAAGGAAGAAGGGGACGGCAGAGGATGAGGTGGCTAGATGGAGTCACTGAAGCAGTCGGCATGAGCTTAAATGGACTCCGGGGGATGGTGGAGGACAGGAAGGCCTGGAGAAATGTTGTCCATGGGGTCGCAATGGGTTGGACATGACTTCGTGACTAACAACAACATGAAACACATAACAGAGAGTGCTAAAGAGTTAAGGAGATGAACTGAGAATGTCAGAGAATTCAAGTAGAGGAAGCAGAGACTAGGAAGAAAAGGTGGAATTTCACTGCATTCGGTCCTTCAAAATCATGTAAACCCCGTAAGTATCAAACAATAAAGGTCTGGGTCTGAGCTGAGTGCATTTGTTTAGGATCAATTAATATTTTGCTGATTTACTTGAAACAGCAGAACAAATGTTAATAAATTAGAAGGATTATTTTTCATGAATTGGCAAAGATTATAACTGAATTCAAACAATGAGCTTTCAAGCACATCCACGGAGCATTTGCTTTTTTATGCCAGTTTATGTGGGGGGACGGGGTTAAATGAATAATTCATTGCTAGACTCTATCTTTTTCTCCACATTTTCTGCCATAGCAAGTTAGCTGAACAATAAATTCCTGTATTCCATTATCCACCCAGAGAATATGGGAGCAGCACAATGAGATGTACACTGGAAGAGGTTTTATTCAATCAAGAAGAAGTCAAACAGATCCTTTTAGTTTTACAGATGTAGTTTATGGCCAATCAACTGTGTAAATACCAGGGCTGGTACAGAGAGAGCAAGTGCTATCTTATCATGCTACAGGCATAGGAACAAACATGATAAGCTAATGATGTTTTATCAGGGGAAGGAACCTCTGCATGTGACCAACTTCATGCAGTAAATGTCATCCCTTGCATTTCATTGGCTGGTTGTTTCTGCGTATAGTTGCAGAAGCCGCATACTCAGTTTCTAGGAATAGCTCTGTATTCTCCTAAATCCCAGCAAATATGACCCCCTTTGCACAACACAAATATGACCCCCTTTGCTGTAGTTCGTTTAACCCCCCTCTGAGTCATCCCAGTGAGGGGTGTGCTGTCTGCTATTTTAACTATGCAGCCCCAGCCAGCCTGACTGGGGGTGCGGTTGCCACGTTGTGCAAATCCAGGCACCATAGATCATTTGAGGGTTAAACAATCCTCACAGTACCCTACTATAAACCATGTTGTGTGAGCCCATGATTCTCACATCAGTATTAAAGAAGTGGGTAACACAATGGAGCATTGTTGCGTGTTCTCTAGCCTGTTACGGAACTGTAATTTTCAGAAAAATAAAACTCTGATATGATTGCCACTGTAGGTTGTTGTTTAGTCGCAAAGTCGTGCCTGACCCTCCATAGCCCCACAGCACACCAGGATCTGCTGTCCTCCACCATCCCCCAGAGTCTGCCCATCCTCACACCCACGGCACTGGGGACTCCATCCAGCCACCTCATCCTCTGCCATCCCCTCCTCCTTTTGCCTTCAATCATTCCCAGCATCAGGGTCTTTTCCAATAAGTCCTTCCTTCTCATTACTTGGCCAAAATGTTTGAGCTTTCTGTCCTTCTAGAGAACAGTCAGGGTCCATGTTGTCTGGGTATTTCTTCCCAGGTACAATATTCCCAAGCAGAACGGGCTTCTGTACTTCTCGGAGCACATGTCTCTTCAGTTGTTTGCTTGCTGAGGACGAACAAGTAGACTTCCCAGACATACACTGAATACATTATTGACTGTAAGCTAACGGGGATGCTATATTTTTCTGAGCATCTCTTTTTGTCCTCCGCAGTTGTCTTGTCCACAGGCTGTGACCTCACTGTCTGCAGGCTCCTTCCTATGCAACAGTTTTTAAGCTAATTGTGCATCCTGATCACTCTTTGGGGAAAAGCTGTTTCCTAAGAATTAGAACTAATGTGTGTCCAAGGGCATCACGGAATCTTAATTTCATTAGCATTTAGCACAGTTTCCATCAATATAGTACTGGCTACTGATTAGCTACTGAGCCAAATACAAGGACTTGCCAGTGGCATATAAGGCACTAACATCTTGGGACCAAGTACCTGGGGGATGTCATCAGGACACAATAATTAAGAATATCAGATCTTGCTGGTTGTATCACTGTGTGCAGGTTGCCATCTTGTAGCAACCCAAAAACGGGTTTTCTGCAAGGTGGCATCCCCATGCTGGTACGGGCATGCTGGCAGTTTGTATGCCCCTTTTCTGCTTAAACAGGCACTGGACTGTCTATGTGATTCATTCTCTGGGCTTGAAAATTGGTGACTGAGCTCCTAGAACTGGCACCGCGATAGTGAAAGACAGATGCACAAAGGATCTCTTGCACAAAATCATTTGTGGGATAACTTTCCGAATGTCTTTGGCTACCACAATATTCCCCTAAACAAGTGTTCTTGTAATTGCCCAGCATGCAATGCCCTCTCCCTTCCCCCTTTCCTCCTCCTGTTTCATTGCTATTTTCCCTGGCTTGTTCCTTTCCTTCCTACTCACCTGAAAGGCAGATTTTCAGTCATATCACATAAGCCAGAGATTGTATCTCAGACATAATTTAATTCTCAGAACCCTCCTTTCTTTTCAATAATCACATACTACCCAAAAGAACAGTGTACTTTAAAAAATGGACATTTTTGTTCTAATTTTATTTATAATACATTTATTTTACCTTGGGCATTAACTTTTCTCCGGTGCATAAGGACAGGACTTCCTCACTTTCTCCCAAAATTTGCTTCCGCTATTGGTAGACCTTTGGAATGATGGGGCCTATAATTCTGTGGGCTGTAGGAGCAACTTGGTATTACTTTTACTGATTTTTTGGTTATAATGCTAAATTACTGATTTAAAATTTTAAATTACAGTAGAAACTTAAATTGTTTTGTTTAAAAAAAATCAAGCGTAAGAACATACCCTGTGGGATCGGACCAAGGGCCCCTTTGTTCCAGCATCCTGTTCACACAGAGCCAAACAGCTGCTCATGGGAAATCCACAAACAGGACATGTGTGTGACAGCACCCTCCTGCCCATGTTCCCCAGCAACTGGTGTGCCTGGGCATAGTGGAGTAGCAGGAATCATTTAGACCTGTGCTGCAGCCTGATAGAAAGATCCTGGAATCCGTACAAATGTCACTGAATATTTTACAGTCCTGCTTTCGGACTGCAGTGTACACATCTAGAATGAGAGAGACTCTGAGTTTGGCGTTTGTATGGAGGCCAGGAATGACCTCAAGGAGTTCCTTCTTGATATGCAACCCCATAGAGTAATGGTGATGTCCACAAGGACACGGACAGGAAAACTGAAGTTTGATCCCTCATTCATCCTAGCCATTTTGGAGTCAGTGGCCCTGCCTTTTAGAGCAAAACCTGCAGTTGCAATGAGGTGATGGCCAAGCTCCTAGTGCACACCTGATGGAATGACTCCGGAGCGACCATCACCCTGGCACTGGCTCTTTTCCTAGAGCACCACTGCACAGTCCTTCCTCATGGCAGCCCTGCACAAAGCTCCCTGCTGCTGCAACCCAGTCCAGAGAGCCCACCGCCTTTCCTTCACCGCCATGCTGGGGCTTGCTGGGCTGGGACTGGAGGCAGAAGGTGGGAGGGAGGGCTGCATGTAACTGGAGCAGGCAGCTCTACTCTTGTGGCTCTGGGTTCTCTTGAGATACTGCAAGGTATCAGCCAAGTGCTGGGAAGTCATGCCAGCTCCAGAATTCCACAGCAACGGAGGACTGGTGTCGACATCAAATTGTCCTGCCTGCAGATCCCTCGCTGAGTTGAAGGCCATGGGAGAAAGGGGGCTGCAGGGACTCTTTGGAGTACCAGCTGGAGGTGGTGGCAGAGTGACGCGATCTTCTAGCCTTGCCGTCTCACATGGATGCCTTTCCCTGCTTCATGGGGAGGAGGGGGGACAGTCCTGGCAGCCATTTTGCTTGATCATTCCCCTTGAAGCTGCCAGTACTCTGAATTTTGAACCATAAACTGAAAGCATCAATGCACTGGAGGTCTGGCAAAATAGGCACTTCTGGGGAGGGGCAGATATTAGTTTCTTTCTCAGCACCATGCACGCTCACAAATTCCCTTCCTTCCACATTCAGACCTTAAGGCCCAACCAGTATATTTGATTTTTTTCTATTTCACAGTATGGCTTTGTCAGTCTTGCCCTGACCACCTCCCCACCCCCATTACAGCTCTCTTATCTCCCTTATTTAAATCCGCAAAACATTCTGTTCTCAAAGCCACTGCTGTGAGCTTGACATTGATAGCGGGTGATAGGAGAGAAAATATTACTTTAATTTCCTTCTTCAGAATAACCAGAGTCTCAATTCCTCTTCTCAAGGCAACAGTTCCCAACCCTGAAAAACACAGCCTTTCAGCTTGAGCAGTATACTACTCTTGTCACTTTTAGGAAACCACAGTTGTTCATTTGGGATGAAGAAGGTGCATCTCCAGGTGAGAATTGTGAGTTCAAAGCAGTCTTGTGCAGCAGTCCCTTTCTTTGCAGAAATGAACGACACCAAGAATAATTGCAATAGGATGTTCCAGACCAAATTCCTTTATTTACTGCCCTGCAAGAAACAGGATGCTAGTAAAGAAAACAAGGTCCCCAGTGCTGACTCTTGTCACTTCTCCAGGCCGCAGCCTGACTCATCTCATAACTTAGGGCTGCCCTTTGTTAGCTCATTCCAAACCATCAAATACTGCATAACAGGGCAATGCTGTGGGTTGCAGCTGACCTAAAACTGTTTCAGCCAGCCACCCAAAGAAAACACTCTGTCACAACAAATGTCACAAGGCTGCTGAGATTTTATCTTTGCTGCTCTTAACCCCTTCAGCTGATGCTCTTTGTAAGCACGTTTATTTCCATTCAAAGAGAATGTGTACTGTAAAGGTAGGCCTTGACTGGTGATTTCCTGGCCTCAATCAGCCGCCAGCTAGAGACAGATATTAAACAAAGCATAACACAAACAGAAAAACAGACCATTTTAACTTTGAAGGCATATGTATTTATTTCTCCATAAAATAATGAAACAGGGATGAGGTTCCCCATAGTTGTCTACACTTCAGGGGCAAAACCACCTCACCACCCCCTTGGGGACTCCAATGTCAGTTGCATGATTTATTTTATTTTATTTAAACAACTTATATGCCGCCCCATTGCATGAGCCTCGGGGCGGCTTACAATCATTAAAATCAAAAAAATGATGAAGTTGGCTTCACTCATGACTACTCCGATGGGGCCAAGCAAGAACCAGCAGGACCAGAAAGATGAGGATTCGCTGCAGCAACAAGGCTAGCATAAGAATTTTCAGGCCCAAACACAAGCAAAACTGGGAATGATTAATCCAGCAATGCTTGCGAGCACAGTCAGTACTTAAGAGAAGAGCACAAAATGACAACAACCTTATCACAGTTGAACAGGAGAAGTTTTCCGCTGATATATTCACTAGAAAAGAATCTACTTCCCTTTTATGTGTACACAAGTGACATAAATTATTTCTCCTTCATATTTCTTCAATACTGTCGCTACTTTAAAAAAGCACAGCACCCCCCGCAAAATGAACAGTAAGCAGAGTTCAGAATGAGTAATGGCAGGTTCCAATAGCAACTAACACCTGGTACCAAAGACAGTCCAGTGCCCTGTAACAAAATGATGAACGAAATGGTCTCAGTTTTGCATCTACCAGTGCTGCAGCAGAGGGACAAGAATAGCTTCTCCTTAGATAGTAAAGGCACAGGAGTTCTCTTTGAACGAAGAGCTGGCAAACTCTGCTGTGTGAGAGAATGAAAGATTATCAAGACCAGACAGGTGCTTCCTCAGTAGTGGCTAAGCCAGCAGTAGCCGGGGAAGAGAGGAAAGGAATGACTTGCGTGACACGGGTGCAACTGGGACATGCTTGATGCAATTGTGTTGAGCCCAATCCTTGTGTGAGCATAAGCTCATCCTGACAATGGGATTGCCAGAGTCCTCCTGTGCGACTGGCAAATGTGCTCGGGAGGATCTCCCAAGCCTCAGAAGCGATGTTGGGAGGGGTGCGGGTACAGTGGGGGGGGGGGAGACATCTAGCCTATCAGCACTTTCCATCCAGTGCTCAGTGCTATCAGAGAAGATGAAATGTCTAATACTACTAATAACCCCATTACTAGGAAAAGAATGCACTTAAAAATAGTCGACCAGAGAGATGACGTCAACACCTGCAAACAGGATGAAGTGAGAAAAACACGACTTGCATCACCCCACAGCTCAAAAGATCCCTAATCTTTATTCATCTCAAGTTTCCTTTCATTAGATAGAATCACAATAGGCTCTTCCAGTCTATTTTATATACTGCCGGATCACATGATTTCACAAAATGAAATAACCTTTTACTTTCTCATCTCAATACCACATCCTAAACTGGTCGCTGCAGAAAATTACTTGGGTCACGTCTTGCTGTCCCTCCTATTACATGTTGCTATGCTTCTTAAATATAAATATGTTGGGTTGAATGTATCTTTCTCAAGTGGTATACTGCAAATACAGTGACGTCTGCATCCATGGCATTTTGCCTTCCCAATTTCCTTTCTGAATGGCTGCTGTTCGCATTACTGGCAGGATCTTGGGCCAGAGCAGAACAACTATGCATCCTCCAGCTGATTCTTAAGAGGAGAAGATGGCCGTTTGTATGTGGATTCTTCCACAGCAGCCACTTCTGGAAACAGTTTGAAGGGCTTTGTTGTCAGATGTTTCACATTTCTCTTCTACCACCAGGTTCTGCAGTCTCCTTGGACCTTTGAAAGTTCAGTACACATGAAGAACCATTTCTATTAAAGTACACTCCAAGAACCACAATAAGAACAACTGGATTCCGATGCCACCCAAGCAGATTCCACAGGCAGAAATAAAATCCTGGACTTGTGAGGACAGCCTGACTGATCAACTGCTTTCCCTTTGTCCTTTTCAGTCCACGTTTCTCAACAGCAGGACCAAAGTAGCAAGAGGGCAGGGCTCACACAGCCCCCTGATGCATCGGGTGTGTCCGTACTCTGTAGATGATCACAGCTGTTGCCGGGCACAAGACCAGGGACGTCATGATCACGACGGTGACCAGAATAACGAGGACGATGACCCACACATCCAGAATATGCTTCGGGAGGGGGAGCGGTGTGGCTGCCACGTCCCCCATCCTCCTCCTAAAGAAAAAAAGAAAAAGCAGTTAATTTAACCGGAGACTGAGCAAATAGGCAAATATGACCTTTCTTTTGGCTCAGGGCACAAATACCACTTTGGGGCTCTTTTCCAGCAGTGCTGAGCAGCCTTCTTCAGTCTCCAGGTGTCTGGGACTGTGATTCCCACAATTCCCAGGCAGCTGGCTGGGAGTTATGGGAACTGCACTACAACTTAGCTGGGTGGGTGCCAAGTTGGGAAATCCTGGTATGGAATGGGAATTGACACTTCATTTGGCCCAAACCTTCATGAAGCAGACACGCAGTGCTGTCCTAGATGGATACTTTACTTAGAAAGTGAGCCCTACTTGGTTCAGGGGGTGTATTCTCACACAGCTGTGCATAGGATTACAACTTTATGGGTGTAAGCAGCAGACCCATGCAAGCACTGGTGTATGGATCTGACAGAATGGATCGTGTCCATGAGAGACGCCCATCCATGACCTATATAGAAACAGGGATCAGTCAATGAAGTATCACTTCCTGAGCCAGACTGGTGCATTGGCTGGGCACTGTCTACAGATGCAGAAAGCAACACAAGTAAATCCTTCAGTGAAACAAAGAGATGGAGCAAGGCAGGATCTTACTAACCTATCTCGCTCTTGGTACATGGGGTGGGATGCAAACATATTAAATTGAGTGTATCTGCATATGCTCAAGCTTTTCAGAGGCATGGACTGAAAAGATTCAGTTTTCATATAAAGTAATTATTTCTAAATTTGAACTTGGACTGTAAGGTAACCTGTTCAAGTGCTATGCAAGCCTGTCACCTGTTTGTCCTCTTTTTGGGTGATGTGAAAGGGGACACCCTATTGCTGTGCATTCTGCCCTGTGTCCCCACAGCTGGCCTGCTGCCCTCAGGGGCACTGGGGGACACCCTTCCATCACCACTGCTGCGGCTTCAACTGCCAGTCCGGTCAACTTTCGCAAATGGGGCGGCATCATCTTGCCCATCACCTCAGGCGACATAATGAATGCCTTGGTCTGGCCCTGACCAACCATGTGTAGGGGCTAGAACAGAAGCACAGAAGGGATGCTCTTCAGTCCAGAGCAGTGCACCTTCCCAGAAAAACCTCTAAGTTGTCTATTTCTTCGGAGGGGTGGCAATCCTTCTGCAGGATAACACATATGCCTGTGACAACGACATGTGAAATTGTGTCTAGGGGAGAGGGTGGTTTTTAGGGTAAGTTGCATTGCTACAGAATTTTTCCAGCTGCATTGCTGAGAACATTCTGCTCAATAAGAAATGTGTGATGGGGAAGGCAGGGAATCCGTAACAGAACAGCCACACACTTGGATAACCTTCTGTAAAAGGCATTTTAAAGGGCAGGCTATTCAATAGTATTTACATACTGCTATTATTTTAATTGCACCATTACTGATGGGGAAAGAAATAATAACCTTGCTCCTCAATTAGACTAACATTCGACCTAACACATGATGAGAAAGCTCTGGAGTCAAAATTTAATAGCTAGGAAAGATGCCAGATGCCCCTAATTTTAACTGTAAAGGCTGTTCCTGCAGGTCTGATGTCATATAATGGAGGCTTTTATAATAAGGTGTTCTTATAATTGATGCTTTTTGGTGCCAGGTGAAGAGACTTTCATTTTTTTCCAGATTTTAAAAGGACTTGCTATTTTATCACAGTCTAGGTTGCTATATGTAGTTTGATGTCCATGCTTTATCATGCTTTTTGTAAACTACCCTAGGAGCACTGAAAAAGGATAGCAGAAACATCTTTTGCATTTAATACACAAGCATTTCTGTCCTCCACATCTTCCCAGGACTTCCCAAAAGTATCATCACAGATTCTTTGCAAGCCAGAACCACCACTGCATGACCACAACACTACTGTGCTGAAATGCTACAGCGTATTTATGACAATGAAATGTGCAAATGTGCACAAAAGAAAGCTGGGGCAATTGTGAGGTGGAAGTGCTCTGTTTGTTGTGTCACTGCTGTCCCCAATAACTGGGTCAGTCTCCCCGTCTTCACATCTTTCCTACCAGCACTGCAAAAATGCAAAAGTGCTGTCCTACCTTTTGCAAGGTACTATATACTTAAGCCACGGCCCTGTACATCTTTAGGCGGAAAAAACCCAGAAACTGTAGGGTTCCAGAAACTGAGTATGGAATAGGCTTCCACTGGAGGCAGTTGAAGCCTATTGGTGAGGGTGTTTAAGGATAGGCTGGACATGCGCATGGTCGGCATGTCATGAATGGAGCTAGGAGTCAAGCTAGATGGCCCAGGAGGCCCCTTCTGAATTGCTCTGTTTCTATGGTTTTTTTCTGTTTAAACATCCACTGAGTTGTACTCTAAATAATTAAAGAAGTTCTGCAATGAATCAGCTCAGAAGTAAACAAACAAACATTCTTGTTATTGTTGGCTCCTGCAGCTAGCTGTGGTCTGAGATCTTTGGTTCTCTCTCCACAGCAGCACGCAATGGCAGGATGTACTTTACTGTGCAAGGCTACAGTTATAAACCCTGTGAACATCTGGAAGAAGCCAATGTGAGGGGCTGGTTGTCCTTAGTCAAGGTAATATCTGGCTTTTCACCTAGCAGGGGTGATTCAGGGGTAGCAGCTGCACTCTGGAGTGGGCCACTCAGCCAGACCATATTCTTTCTTACTTACGTCCAAAAGAAAGAAATCAGTTGCAGTCTCTGCTAAAGGCCAGGTCTCTGGGTGCTGGCATTGCAATATGGATGACCTGGCTGAGATCATCTCCAGGCCAAGCACCTCCACTTAGCAAAGCTCTTCACTAGTAAACTGCCCAGGTCCCTAAACAATGCAGAATCTTCTAAAATCTGCCTCAGATCTGGTGATGTGCAATCACGAGTCATCAGACAAGTGTTTCTCCTGGAATCTCCACCCGGGCAAATGGTGAGGGACCAAGGGAGATATATTCCACTCTTTCTGTCACAGCATGGATGCTAAAAGTAGCTCTCCTGGGCAGAAGGAGAGCTTGATGCAGGCACCAGAGGAGACTGCACCAAGTTCTTTCTCTCTCAGTACTGGTGCTAAAAGTAATTCTTCTAGGAAGTGGAGAAGCTAGATGCTGGCTGCATGCAGAGGAGATTGTACAAGGTTCTCCTCTGGTACAGTTGCTGGGGTGTACATTTCCCCAAAGCTGAGGGAACACCTGACACAAGCATCGAGGGAACGTCACTGCAGAGACCATGGCTCTTCAAAGAACCAAATGGGCACCTTAGCACTGGGCAGCATTGGCTAGACCATGGTTCCTATTTTATTTGCCATTTCCCACTGAATTGCCACTTTATGCTGCTTACTGTGTTGTGTGCTGACTCTAACCACCCTTTTTCCATTCTGCATTTTTTCCCCAAAATACCCTATTTTCACCCAAACAGTATGCTATGAGGGTGAAAGTGGGGAGGTTCACAAATAGGCATACTACATGATGGTCATGCAAATGTTACTTTAATAACTGGATTGCTTGCAGGCTGCAAAAGGTATAACCTAGCTGTGCTTTCCTAAGGACACATGGCTGCAAAGAAGCCTAAACAAGAGATGCCAACGGGGATCCTTGGCCAGTTGCTCCCAAAGGAACAAGAGCATCTGGGGACTGAGGGGACCAGGTTTCATACCCAGCGGTATGAACGACAGCACAAATGAAGTGCTGAACTCAGAAGCAAAGTCCATGACTTCTGATTTTTGTCAGATTTTGTTTGGGTTTCCTTGGGCAAATAAAATTCCTGATGAGCTAATCATCATTACCAAAATCTCCTATCAGGTGTCTTGTTTCTTTAGCAAATATTTTCTATTGTAGGTGTTGACACAGACGTCAAGTTGTGGCAACTTCCAGCTGACTCAGTAGCCTGGAGGAGGCTCACCTGTGCTTATTCGCAGTTTCCTGAATCATGAGGTTACGTGAGCATCTTAACTAGTGCTGAAGCATTAGATGATAATGCTCAAGCCCCTGTGCAATGAATAAACTCCCACATTCAGCTCTAATCTCCATTTCCACAAAGAGCTGTTTCTCTTGTCTGTCTCTCCAGCCAGCATCAATGTGCAGAGTCAACATGAGTTCATTCTTTGTGAAAATGAGGCTGGACTTAGTCACAATTCTGATATTGACTCTCCGCCTACCTTACTCACAGGGCTGTTGTGAGGCTAAAATTGAGAGAACGGGGGAGGTGATGTAAGCCTCTTTCAGTTCTTTGGAAGGAAAAAAGGCAGGATGTACATATAATCAATAAATAAAACAATGGGAGCAAAATAGCTAGCATAACTCAGTCCTTAGAGGTTCTCTGTTGAGGTCATGAAACTTCCAGGATTTTTCCGGGTGGGGGGAGGCTTGGGTATCTGAAGCCCCCACACTCTCAAAGAATCCCCAGTGCTGTTTCCAGTCTCAGATTGGAGCTGCCACTGGGATGTAGACAGTGGGGGGTCAACCCTATATGGGGACAGCAGCTGTGCCTCCCAGTGCCAGCAGAGCCCCTTGGCCATGAGGACACGCGCCACGCATAGCCGGGGACGAGGTCAGCGTTACAAAGAGTGCCTGCCTTCTCAGTCCCATGTCCCCTTCTCTGGGCTGGGAGAGCCGTGGAGTGCCATGTGGAACTTAAGTAAGCAACTGTTTTACCTGCAGCGTGTTTTCATCTCCGCTGGTCTACCCATGACAAGTTCTACATTAACTGCAGTGCTGCAGCTTCCCACATTTTCAACTTCCTCTTTACACTCCTGCTGTGTAGGAAAATGAACAGGAGTGTGTATGTCTGCAAGCAGTGCTAAGAACACCTTTTATTGTAAAATATGTCACTTGAGGATGCTGCTAACACAGTTCACAAAGCAGTCACGCAATGCTTAATTTATGCAGTGTAATTTAAAATGCAATGTTACCTTTATACACAGAGAAGATTTAAACACTGACTGAAATAAATGTGTCACTTTGTGCCAGCTGGGTTTAAGGATCTAAGGGCACAATCCACTTCCACTACTCTACCCTTC